CTATGTTTCTCCCACTTTGCTGAAACTTTCAGATTTAACGGCCGAGTTTTACTTTCAGTGAACTTTCCGAGCCTTCGTAAATCACTTATAGGGCACTCGACTTCCATAAAATCAAGAAGATTTACACTTTCTGCATTTATTCGTCTGCTCATAACCTGAAGTCTGTTACCACTGACTCTTGTGTGCCTCTTATACGTATGTCATCATATTCCTTTTGAGTAATTTTACTGTTTTTTGGCGCGGGCTTATTGGTTTCAAGTGCGGTTTTTTTTTCCAGTTTTAAATACATTCGATTGATTGCATTTCTAGCATATTTTCATTTGGTTGCTGGTTATTAAGAATAACACCTTTTTGATTACTTGCCACACAACTAATACATAAAAGAAGAACATTTTGGCTCAGTTGTTTCAATAAATTGATGGCATTTTTTTCTAAGTTGGTGCATTTAGAAGTCATGTGCATTAATTCGCCACTTGATGTACAGTCTTATAGTGTCTGTTTCGGTAGTTTTTCGTGCATTTTTTGTAGTTTTCATGTTTGAACTCATTTGTTTGTTTTAGAATGTTTCATTGAAAAATGTGTTTGGAATCTAGATTTATGTGATTACTATCAATAAAAAAGAACAGAATTCACCTCCTGTCATGGAGCTCGTAAAGAGTCCCGAGAGCTAAAAGTAAATTGGGAGAAAAATAAGTGAGTCTTTAACCGTGGAACCCGTAAGGAGTTCCGAGAGCTTTAACTTACCAAGAGAGGCTTGTAGGTTCCACAATTACACCACTGATTACAATGAAAAACGTTGTTTTTCCAGATGGTTCGTAGACCGCTCAGGGATTCTGGGTTAGATAAACGTCGTCGTTTCCGATATCTGTTTCGAAGCATATCTTTTGTTTGATGCTGCTGTAAACCCAGGCGTTTCGTAAAGCTTCACGCTGAATGATTTTATCAACCTCGATATGGCGAATAGTTATTTTATTGATCAGTTTTCTGACTCGTGGGCTGATGCCCAGTACGTAAACCATTTCGCAGAGATCAGATAGTTGGCAAGCAAAATTGGCTAGTTGTTTCCCAATTTCCTCTGAATTGCGAGCAGATTATGTCGCACTGGTCTTTCGTCGGTAAATGATTTTGTGCGTGGAAGATCCTACCACCAGGGGTTGACAAAATGTTGAAGTTGGGAAACACTAGTCTCCTAGCTTGTGAGTCAGCAATCAGCATGTGTTTTTTGATGACATTTTGAAGATGTGCTTTTCCATAACATGCAAGGTCTTGTCTCTAAAAATATTCCATTGGAACAGAACAGAATTCACCTCCAAAAGAACAGAATTCACCTCCTGTCATGGAGCTCGTAAAGAGTCCCGAGAGCTAAAAGTAAATTGGGAGAAAAATAAGTGAGTCTTTAACCGTGGAACCCGTAAGGAGTTCCGAGAGCTTTAACTTACCAAGAGAGGCTTGTAGGTTCCACAATTACACCACTGATTACAATGAAAAACGTTGTTTTTCCAGATGGTTCGTAGACCGCTCAGGGATTCTGGGTTAGATAAACGTCGTCGTTTCCGATATCTGTTTCGAAGCATATCTTTTGTTTGATGCTGCTGTAAACCCAGGCGTTTCGTAAAGCTTCACGCTGAATGATTTTATCAACCTCGATATGGCGAATAGTTATTTTATTGATCAGTTTTCTGACTCGTGGGCTGATGCCCAGTACGTAAACCATTTCGCAGAGATCAGATAGTTGGCAAGCAAAATTGGCTAGTTGTTTCCCAATTTCCTCTGAATTGCGAGCAGATTATGTCGCACTGGTCTTTCGTCGGTAAATGATTTTGTGCGTGGAAGATCCTACCACCAGGGGTTGACAAAATGTTGAAGTTGGGAAACACTAGTCTCCTAGCTTGTGAGTCAGCAATCAGCATGTGTTTTTTGATGACATTTTGAAGATGTGCTTTTCCATAACATGCAAGGTCTTGTCTCTAAAAATATTCCATTGGAGATACTCCACACAAAACCGAGGCCATTTTACATGGCACACAATATCTAATAAGCTCGTGAGATGAGGTTGGCTGTCGGCTGCATTGATTGTTACTTGTTACCTTTGCAACACGCAAGGGTTTTGCAACCGGGTACTAGACTTTTCCTTTGTAATTTTCTTCACAGTATCCCTAATTTTATTCGATTTTGTAATCTGTACTTTGGTACTTTCATCAATCAACAGAGATGCATTGAGTATACTTGCATTTTAAATGCCTTTTTCATCGAAAGTTGTCATCTGTTCGTTGTAATTTTACCAACTTGATTTGGTTGAATTTTTTAACTTAACCGGCTGCAAAGGCTTCAGCTCGTTTAATATCGGCTTTGTCGTCTCATATTGCGTCGATTTGTCGTCTCATAGTGCGTCCTCTCATAGTTAGTTTTTATAAAGCTGCTAATTCTTCGCATATTGCTGGTTTTATAATTTTCGAAATGAAATTTTTTGACTTTGGTATGATCATAAGACTTTTTGAATATCAGTTTGTTTTAGTACAGGTTTGTTGTGTAGTTTATTTACATTTTAGTAAAAGAAGTTTTCCTATGTTTTGCAAAACTGACGTACCTTCACAATGTAGTCATTCAAAGAAGGCACACTAGTTGGCGAAGGTGACTAATCTTGTAAGATCTTGTGTAAGATTTCTGCAGAAATTACCTATCCTGTATGTGGCCGGCTGTCTTGCAAGGTCTTACAAGATACACCATCAGTTTTCCGACCGAGCTATCTTGAAAGTCTTGTAAGAATCTTGCAAGATCTTACAAGATAGCTTAAAATTTCACTTAACATGTTCTGGTATGATGCAAGCAGGTCAATGGAACTAAACAGTTTGGTTTTTAAAATGATCGGAACAAGTTTTCAAACCAAGCTGAAAGTCTGAAAGCCAGCGCGCCATTTTCATTATTCGATTTTCATTTTCATCAGCGACTTTTTTAGATATATTTTTAGGTATCGCGTTTTTAACATAGCGCTTAATTTACTTGAGTAACTTCCGTAAATTTTCATTGGAAGCTTAAAAAGTGTAGTTACTTATTCAGAACGTCTTTGTATGAAATACAAAAGCTTTTGGTTTAATTTTTTTGGGCTAAGAACTATGTTTTATCAGGTAGCGGTGGCATTTTTTGGTACTCTAAGGCTTATTTGCTAAATTTTAAATAAAGTTAATGTGGATTTTTTTTGCATTGGTAAATTGATTTGATCCGTATGGATCTTTGGCTAGTTGAGAAATTGTTTGAACTATTTTTTGACATTGCAGTTTTTTTTCATAGTGTTCTATTTTTACCTTATTCACTACTGCCTGATTTTTTTTTCGATATTTCGCGAACCTTTTTCTCTGAAACTATACTATCTAGTGCTGCTTTTATCACTCCGTGCTAGCGTGTTACTAAAAATTCTCTGCATAAACTTTTTGCTTGTCTACACGTTTCAACCATCTGTTGGCCATGTTTTTATGAGTGGAAACCAAGAACGCCTATGAAATATTGTAGTCGGATATAGTTTCCATAGATTATTCCAGTTCCTTTCTGAACAGACTTGGTTGTTGAAGATTGCACCCAACCTATTACGAGTGGAGACAAAGTTGGATCAAACCTACCAATTGGGTCTATCGCATGAGTTAAGTTATTTAAAAATTAAAGGATTAAAAATTAAATCATGAGGAATGAAACTGGAATTTTAAAAATAAAACTTAATAAAGCTAATTTTTCATGCTATGCTTGTTTTGTAATCGCACAAGTGGCGCCAAGCTCTGCTCTGATTGAGAGTCAGAAGTTCTGATAAAGTTGCAGAAATATGAGGTTGGTTGACTGCATTAAGATGCGATCCATGATAACGATATATTGTACTAGCTTGAAGGGTGGCTGCAACATATGTACATGTGTACTTGGCGAGTATAGACCGGAGGTCGTATCAACGTAAATTGACTTCCAATTTGGGTCTTTGGTGGCTAAAAACTGGACGCAGAAGTATTAAATTGTGGACTCGTTGCGTTCATCTGCCGATTGTCAGTTTGGCGTTGAATTTGAGCGGTCTAGCGTTCCAAAGGTGATTAAGAGTAATGAACGTTGTGAGTGCCCTATACAAGTATGGTGATTTTTAAAATATTTTATCTTTTAATCCAGTTTTTTCATATTGGGTTATTTTTTACCAGAAAAGGGTCAAACATTAATTGTTCGTGAAATTAAAAGAGCTTTAAGGGTATATATTCTTTCTTGAAATTTCTTGAAACAAGCCAGTTTTTTTCTGTTTCCTTGCGTTCATTACTTTTTCCAACTGTCAGTGTTGGTTGTTTTTATTGGGTGCGTGGTTGATGATTCGAACGTTGCGAAAACTTGGTGATGTGTTCTGAAATTGACTCAAATATGAAAATGAGCGCCATTCGCTAGTTTTGCTGCTGCTCCAAGAATTTGATTTTGGGTCCGCTGATCCAAGCTCATTAGTATAGGTGGTTTAGACGGCGAATTACTTTGACTCCGAGTGGCAAAAGTATCAAGAGGTACTGCTGACGATATTGATTCGTTGTTCAGAAAACTGGTAACGGGAGTATTTAATGCGGGAAAATGTGACAAGTTTTGCTCCGGCGTCATTATGTTGTGAAGCAAAATTTTCTTCGAAAAATTGCTTTCGAAAATATTTTGATTTGAATAGGTTTGATGTTGTTCGGGGTACCATAATTGCCGATAGCTGTGTCGTTTTGTTGATGGCGTTGGTAGGCACCCTTGAAATATTTACTAAAGTGGATGCAGTTTTGCTTATGACTTGTGTATATCACTTGATATAAACATGTCTCCTGATATAAACACGCAGTATTGATCAAGTTTATTATTCAAAGATTGTTTAGCTTAATTTGGGTAATACTTAGGCGGTAAATTGATGCCAGTTGGAGGTCATGGGATTAAAATGGTTCAAATGGGAGTTGAATGTTTGACTGTTTGTAAATGAAAAGGAATAAGGTGGTTATTATGTGTGGTTGTTATTGTAGGCACCTGCAGAGGATAGATGATAAGAGTAAGCAGTACTACTCCCGCTTTGACTTCTTCGAGACCACCCTGATGAAGGGAGTGATGGGGGGACCGGGGGGAGGGCTGGGGCCGTTCAACGTAAGTAGACGACATGTAAGTGCCCTATCACTGCTACTGCTGCTGCTGTGCTGAAACAATTGTCAAATCAATCTAATTTTTTCATTTTTTTAATCAATCTAGGTATTGGAATTGAAGTATATTTTTTGTAGCTTGACTTGAACATGTTAAAACATTTCTTGCTATTATAATCTATTTATAATTTTTTTGTGGCCTAACTTGAACATGTTAAAACATTTCTTGCTATTATAATCTATTTATAATCTTTTTGTAAGTTTTTTGTGGTCTGACTTGAACATAATAAAATATTTCTTGTTATAAAATCTATTTATACCAACAATCAATCAACAATTGCTATTCGAAGTTTTGTTGACTGATTTATCTTGCCATGTACTATGTGCATGTCTGGTCAAACAGTTATTCATTTTAAATGCATATTATCACTTGATTTCATTGCTTTGCCACAATTTTGTCAAGTTAATTATGAGTTTTAGATGATTAGAGAGCTAAATAAGAATGGTTTTTTTAAGGACAACCACAAAAACTCTTCGAGTAGTTCAGATTCGACTGCCAACAGCTCCAGAATAGCTTTCAAACACAGTGCTCTAGAGGTGGCCAAAGTATTCAACATCTTCCGAATCGAATTCCGAGAACAGATTCTGAACTCTGTTAGTGCTTCACTTTTCATAATACCGTTTTCCGTTTTTATGTGTCTTTGAATTTAGTGAAGACACTTATGTTTTTTTTCGGAAAAAGTTTGTTCACGCTCTAATTAAGAGTCGTTGAACGTAGTTCAGTCTCTTATATAGATCGCGATGATTTTTTTCAGGAAAAAATTAAAATTTATTCAGGCTCAATTTTTTTCTCTTGGTTTGACTTTTGATTTCGACTCCTAGTAATTTCTGTCCCAAAAACACAGTCCTTTTCTGAATCGCAAATGGTTAGATTTGCTTAAGATTTTGATAAATCTTATAAACAAATTCAATATTACCTGTACGTTGTCTTACTTTTAATTCTTGGTTGAAATTCTCCAAATTGATTAATTGTTGTTTCACAACTCTCCTTCGACATTATGATAGGTCTTAAAGTGGATAAAAATGTTAAGACGCACTTGAATACGTGTTCCGCCTCACTGTCGGTGGTCGGAGGAAAAATCGGTCCGTTTTCTCTTCTAGCAGCTATGTTGAATTGTTGAATATTTTCAAGGCTTTCCTTTATTCATCCTGGCAATTGTTTTGTTGTCTTTCAGTTTCCGCGAATTGTGAAGTGCATCAGTGGTTTCAGTGAGAAGTTGTTCGACAAAACCAGACAACTTATACCCAATGTAGAAACGGTTTCCGCGCTGGTAAGTCTTTCAGAGTTTCACTTACAAAATTTTGGCACAATTGAAAAATTGCCATTTACCCCTTTAATGACCAAGTGAGAGATCACCCACCACCCTATGGCAAATTAAATTTGAACAGAAGCAAAATGCTGAATTCTTATCGGGTAAAAAACACTTTTAAAAATTGAACGCTCTCCGTGAATCTTTTCCTTGGTTCAAAGTTTTGGTGTCTTGAAGTTCTGAAATGCTACTTTTGTTCCCAAATATTGTTTTGAAAATCAAAACTCATTTCTCGAACTTGGATTCAAACATTGAACTAATGAAGTCTCGTGGCCAAGGGAGTCGAAGATTATACAGTGCTGATCTAAATTATCTGGATAAAACGCATATAACTTGAAATTTAAAATGCGTTTTGCTCAAATTGGGCTGACACTAGGTTAAAGTTTAAGAAGATATAACTTGCTTAAAATTTAGCAGAATTAATATAGTGTAATATGTTTTACAGAATTCAGGCCCAAAATTTAACGCCAAAAACGAATCATTTTTTGACTTTTCTAGTCAATCAAAAATTGCTGTAAAACTACTCGGTCAATTACTGACAAAACTATATCAAAGTCACCATGTTACGTAGCCCAACAAAGCTTAAGACACGTCGAATCTCCAAAAAACTGAAAATTTTTTTTTCCTTGATACCAAAAAAGTCATTAATATGTAAAATACTATTTTTATTTTTGAATCAATTTTTTTAAACAATTTGCGCAATTTTTTTTACCCCTCCTAAACTTTTTTTGAGTTCGTAAGATGCTCAATTTTATATATTTTGGACGGTAATTGACCTGTTAGTTGAAGAGTAGTTATTTATTGACTAAATAGTCAAAATGATCCATTTTTGTGGTAAGTTTTGGGGCAGGGCGACAATTCATAACAGCCGACAATTCGTGACAGGCGACAATTCTTAACAAGCGACAATTTGTAACAAGGCCTTGGCAAGTGGAATACGCTTGCTCCACTGCGCATCCATCCGGAACGAGAGGAGTACTGCGCGTGAATCAGTGTTCTGCGCTTAATATACTGTTACGAATCGTCGCCTGTTACGAATTGTCGCCTCATGAAGCTTGGGCCTGAATTTCGTAAAACAAATTGCACTCTATTATTTCTGCTAAAACTGCAAGCCAGTTGTGTCTTATCTTTTTTCACTCAATGTTAAGCCAATTTGCGATAAACGCCTTTAAATTTCATGTTTTATGCGTTTCGTCCAGATAATATATATCAGCACTGTATATTATCTTATGTGGTGCATTTTGATGATACATCTTAAGAATTTTATCTTCGCAACGCTTAGAACATCATATCTACTTATGTTAGAAAATGAAAATAAAAAAGTTCAATTTTTTCAATACATAAACGGAGAGAAATTTACCTTCTAATTACAACAACGGTTTTTGAAATTAAATTCTATCTTAAGAATACAGGTTCTTTTTACTTTCCCTTCTATTATCAGCAACATTTTTTGACGTTACGAGTGGCTTAAAAGGAATATGTAGAAACCAAAAGTTCTTCAACAAAAGTTAACAAGTAATGTACTCAATTGCGGTATTATCTGTACCGATTGTGTTTTCTCAGTAGGGCGATAGTTCGTAACAAGCGACATTTCTTAAAAAGGCATTGGCAAGTAGAAAATGCGTGCTCCGCTGCGCTCACCGGAACGAGAGAACTACTGCGTGTGAATCAGTGTTCCCCACTTAATCTAATGTTACGAATTGTCGCCTCAAGTGTTTTATCTGCATAGGTTTTTTTTACTTCTTAATGCAGCTGGTGTTTGGGACAGTAATGGCGGCTCTTTTTCACCCAAAGCTTACATTTTACACTACGAAATTTAGTGAGGGTAGGGTAATAGTACGACTATTCTTCTTTTCCAAATGAAGTCGCAAATATTGGTGCAACATTTGGTGGCATCTTTTTTTGGCTTTTTGCTAGCATGTGATTTGACATTCGATTAGTAATAAGTTAACTCTAAGTAATAAGTTTGATGCTTTTTAAGTCTACAAATGAACCGGAAAAAGCTTCTTGTTTCAAACAACATAATAATGAAAACTGAGTTTCCGAAATTTTCTAACTCATTATATCTCAATGTATAATGTATCTCAATATATAATATATACATAATGTTGCTTTATGTTGTCCAATTTATTACATGCAAAGTTAGTATGGATGCCTTCAGTTTGGTATATTCCAAGTTATTACTTGCAGAATTGCGTCTATTTGTATTTGATGCCACTGCTTAATGGCATTGGTAATTTATTCTCATATGAATTCGCTTTATTTGTGTTTAGTGTTTGATGATTATTTGGCGTTCGTAGTCGAGAAGACAGTGCGTGAGACTCCAAATCTCGAGGTCGCAGTTTTGAAACCGATACGTAGCAAAGTTCGACGAATTCGAAGCTTATTTCTATTTTTCTTAATTCACGTTATAAAGCTGATTTTTTGGAGCGTTTTTGCTAGTGTTTGCGAAGTGCAGCTTCGCCTCTGTGAAAGTTTTATTTTCAAAAATCATTTTAACATTGTCAAAATCTCAATATATAATATATACATAATGTTGCTTTATGTTGTCCAATTTATTGCACGCATAGTTAGTATGGATGCCTTCAGTTTGGTATATTCCAAGTTATTACTTGCAGAATTGCGTCTATTTGTATTTGATGCCACTGCTTCATGGCATTGGCAATTTATTCTCATATGAATTCGCTTTATTTGTGTTAAGTGTTTGATGATTATTTGGCGTTCGTAGTCGAGAAGACAGTGCGTGAGACTCCAAATCTCGAGGTCGCAGTTTCGAAACCGATACGTAGCAAAGTTCTACGAATTCGAAGCTTCTATTTCTCTTAATTCACTTTATAAAGCTGATTTTTTGCTAGTGTTTGCGAAGTGTAGCTTCGCCTCTTTGAAAGTTTTATTTTCAAAAACCATTTTAACGTTGTCAAAATGCAATGAAGTTTGGCATGGCGAAGAAATTAACTATTGTGAACATGTATTTCATACTGTTTATTCTAGCATCGTAACACATGTTTAGCCATAGCAAAAATTAGAATTACTAAGAAAATTGAAATTATGAAATGTTTGAGGAAAGTGGAAAATAGCCGTTGATGGTATATGGCGCAGTTGTCAAGACAAAAGACTTTAAATGGCGCTGGAAAAACACGGATTTCAATTTTAATTTAAACACAATTTAAAGTTTAAGTATTGGCCGAGGTTAAAAAATTCAATCAAATAATGCTTGAAAATCAAAGAGCTTTAACGTGATGTATTTTTTTAAACTCAAATGTTGAAAGTGACTTCCTTGGGTTCATTGAAACTTATAAAGTATCTTTGATTGTAGTGAAGACACTTATATAATTCGCGCTGACAATGAAAAAGTAGTAATTCGAGTGTCATTGTAATTCGAGTGGCTAATAAACTGGACCCACCTGTGAGCTACAGAAAAGGGTGATTGAACATAATGTTAACAATAAAGCGAAAAAGTTAGTGTTGAATAGTGTTTTGTGTTGTTTTTTAGATAGCCCGCGCACTTGTCGAGTACAAAGAAGAGAAAGAGTATGTGGCGCATAGATACGAGCAGTGCAGAAAACGATGTGTGCCCTCCTCTGACGAAATGGGCTCACCTGCCTCGGGGACTATGAGTGGAACGATGGTGATTGCACCCCCTTTGCCCTATCTCACAAGCTGTAATATTATTATTCTCCAGGGATACCTGATGAAACAGCCTCATACCAAATTTGGACCGTGGAGCAGAAGATGGTTTTATTTAGTGGACGATAGACTGCTCTATTATAGAACGGTGAGTTCTTTGTAACTTTTTCTTAAATTCTGTAAAATTCGATTTATGCGAAGAAGAAATTGGGTATATTAAAAGCAGACATTATCCGCAAAATAGCTCCTAAATTAATAGAGGATTTACAACAGCTGCATACGCGCATTTTTTCTGATTGATTTAGGTAACATCAAATAATTGAAGACCCAAGTTTGTTAATCCATCATTGATTTCAATTTTGAAAGCTGCGGAATCGGTAAAACTGATTTATTTATATCTGAATACCTAATTTTGCAGAGTGATGGGGTTTTAAGTCTTCCTGGAAAGGTCAGTTGTTTGACAACCTACGAGCATTGCGTACTGGTCTGAATTTTTCACCTTAACGAAAATTTCTGTTCTCCCTTCTTAAGTTTAGCTCGTTAAATCATTTTCAGATTCACCTTGAATTAGTGTTCATTCAGTGTTTTATTGTTTGAGTTAATTCACCAACGCACATTTTCTTGAAATTACTTTGGTTGTATAGCTTTTAACAAATTTATCGGAAAACGTCTTAAACTTTTGACATAATTCTGACCTTGAGACAGTGAAATGGCGTGAAAACAGCAATCGAATTTTCAAAACTCCATTTTAACTGACAAAAGAGCAATGCAAAATGATTTTAACAACGATTTGCCATGCAATTTTTCAGAGAAGAAATTCATAAAATGCCGACAAAAAGGCAAACTCGAAACTTCAAAGAAGTTTTTCGATTTAGTTTAACTTTGAAGGTCAGAATTATTTGAGAAATTTAATACGTTGTCCGATAACTTTGTTTAAAGCTATAATTGACTTGATAAGATGGTGTTAGTGTTCAATTGTTTGTTCAGAAACCTCTCGAGGGCATAAATGAAATGAAGAGAATGAATCTGCACAAAGTCTACATTTTAGAACTTTCATATCAATACCATTTGCATGAAACAGTTTTCTCTTCTAATCCATGTTGAGACAGGAAATCCAGAGTGAATATTTGGTATCGGGAACTTCCCTTGTACATGATTGGGCATGAAAGTTAGTTACGACTAGCAAGCGTTATCAAATCGGAATACAGACTTTTTTGTCGGGTTAACAACTAGGTTAACAAAATCATAAAGGATTCTGCTATGCAGATGACATGCTCAATTTCATGAAAATTCAAATTTAAGTACTGGGTTGGTACTAGTTACTACTGCTATATGCTATAACTAGAATTCAAACCATTGTGTATACTTATAGAGTTTCGATACTAATTTTCAGCTTTTTCGGCTTTATGGTTTTCGACTTAAGCTAGTCGATTTTTTTTCCAAACTCTGAAGAACTTTGCACTTGCTATTTATATAACTATCGTGGATCCTATGTTGGCGTTACATCAATTTTTTAATATAATTTTTTTGACGAAAATTTTCTGCGGAGCTACAGTTAATCGGCTGTCGGCTTTGTTTTAATCCACTTACTTACCGATTTTTTTCCTTTAAATGTCCTGCAATACTTTTGATACCGATAAGACTGTCACCAATGCCCATAGTCAACTCCTCTAGGATCTCTTGGAAAACTTTGATAAATTTTAAATCAAAATGTATATATATATTTTTGTCGTTTCTCCACTTCCTGCAAGAATTGTAACTATTTTCGAAGATCTGTTAGCTAATTTTTGATCGTAACGTTGCTTTCAGCTTATAATTGTTGTTCCTCAAGTGGTTCGAAGATTTGTCTCTGTGTGGAAACTTCGGTTCCTTTTTTCATAGTTTGTGTGCAAAGTCTTGGAAACGAATAGTTTCCGTCGAGGGCTTTTGATCATATTTACTTATCACGCGTATAGAACTTTTTTCGGTTATCGCACTAGCGACAGTTAGTTTATTAGTACGAACTTTTTTCTAACCTAACTCGCAAATAAAAGTGTTCATTGAAAGTGGAAAGTCACTTATAGTGTCCATTTTTGCTATAATCACGATCTAGCATTGGAAATTTCATAGCATCTGTTCCCTGCGTCTGTGTGACTAGTGTTTGTGATGTATCAAGCGTGCGTGGTCGAGTGGTTAGTGCGTTTTTTCATTTGCGTAATATGGGTTACTTCTAACTATTTGTAAAGAAGGGTGCTGGAAAAAGCGGAGTTACTAAAAAGCTTAGTTTTGCACGGAAATCTGTGAAAAAAGTAATAAGAATGATTAAATGTGAAGTGTTTTACTTAGATCTGTATTATTGCAAGCTGTAAATACTAGTTGATCGTGTTTTTTCTGATACAGGGCCCAAAGTTGATCCTTTTGTTATTTCGAAAATGGAAGCATAAAGCTCAAGTCTGATTGGTCACATTAGTTCCTGCGCTTAAATGTCACTAAAAGCAGAAAAACGTTTTCAACTAAATAATCTAATTTGTCAATTGTTGATCTGGCATTTTTGATCCCTTGGTACAGCACGTGCACTGAGATCCTTAGGTCGTGGCTTCGTGTTTTAAATTATTGGTATTTTAAATATCAATGTAGTGAGTATTTATATCTAGGTCGAGTTTATTTTTTTGCCGTTTGACTTGTTATTTTTTAAAAGTTTCATGTAAATTAGACTTTTCGATTAAAAAAGCGTAAATGGCGTGAAAGTGACTTTTAGTTTCGACAGTTGGTTTTATTTTTTATGATTTCCCTGTGGACTAACCAAATTACGTATTGATCCAGTTTTCTCTAATTGGACTAGTTTTACTAGTTGAAGTGATAGATAGGGATTGAGAATCTCTCCTATCAGAAGCTATCCAATCAGAAAATACTTTTCGAAAAAAATCGAGAACACGGCAAACTTGCGGACAGAAAATGAAAAATGGCTATTTTGGTCGTTCGAGCAGAAAAGATTTTACAGTTAGACGGAATTGAATCAACAATTTTGTTTTTAATGACACTTTTTTCTAATTAATTTTGCCGACCAGATGATAGCATTATGACTCAATGTTTAAAGAACCAAAAATAGTGTTTTTGGGCCGTATGTCAGAAAAGACACCAAAAGTAAATCGTTACATTTAGCAAATCTAAAGACCCAATTTTTGCTTTGATTGCAGAATGTGTTCTAGAAAGAGAGTGACTTCAAAATAGTGACAGACTGTCTGAATAAATCGTGGCTGATCCGGGCCAAAAAGGACAGGAAAGAGAACATTTTACTAGAACTGCAGGGACCCTCTGATCAAAGCTCATCCTCCTCCAACAGTAAATCGTCCGCCAACGCATCCGGTAAAGTAGCTTTTCTGTTCAACCGCCCAAAATAGTCATTTTTCCATTTTTCCTTTTCTGCCTGCAAACAGAAAATGACTCTGTTCCAGTTTTTTCCTATTCTACTGTTTTGGTAAAACGACACCTATTTTTGGTCGACCAGCCCTAAAATATTGAGCAAATTATGTACATAATAGTTTTTTTTTTTTTTTAAATTGAAGTCATTGGTTAAACGCGGTATAATGAGAAAGCTGCAATGGTGTAGAAAGTTAGTTTAATAGGCATTAACGACATCATTTTCAAAAAAATGAATAACAAACAAAAAAAGAAAAGAAATCAAATTTTTTTTTCACAATAACTTAGTATATTTTTAATAAACTTAGAATATTTTTTTGCCTAAGTAGCGCTAATTTTAAGTACATTTTTGCCTAGGAAGCGCTAAATAGTTTTCCTTTGAGTAAAATCAAGTTTTCTTAGACTAAAACTTTCACAAAAGAACGTTACTCAATCGCTTTACTCGCTGGAAATTTAGACGAAAATCTAAAAATTTAAATAAATTATCTCAACACAGATTTTTTTTAATTTTAAAAGTCATTCGAATCACGACTGAAAAGGCTTTAATATGATATATCACTCGACCAGTTCCTATGTTTATTTGTGGAATCTGATTTTTCGTGGAAAAACTAAAACAAACCCGAATCGAAAGTTCCTCCCGATTTGCAATGGTCGGAAGAACAACTTGCAAGAATAGGAATGAGTTATTTGTTTTCAGGTGGTGGTGGTTCTTCGGGCTCCTCGAAACACACATCCCTGCTTCTCCAAGCAGAGTCGAGGGCGGAGAGTTCTCTGTGGCAAGATGTGATCTTCGCCACTATTCAGAATTCAGCTTCAAACTCACCCGCCCCACCCACCAACTCCTACTCAAACTCAAACTCGGTAGGTAATCGAGTGGAGGTAATAACTAATAAACAAGGCCAGAAACGCCTCATTTTGTGGTTATTAGAGGGTGAGGCAGCATTATCTAGCACTGAAATTAATGCCTTGTAGTTGTTATTTTAGTTGTTAATTAATGCCTTGCAGAGGTGTATCGTAAGGAACTGAGCTGCATGTTTGTTGGTCATTTCCCTCGTAAATAAATGGTTCTCAAAAAACAATTTTCATTATTTCTGCACCAAAAAATTTAATTTTGTATGGAAATTTTCATGGACCAGAAAGTGCTTAATGAAGCTTCCATAACCGGTTTTATTTTAAATTAAATCAAGTTTTTTTGCTTAATTGGCAAAGAGAAATATTTATTTGTTTGATTATTTCATTTGGTCAATTCAGAGTGAGTTGGTGTTGGTGGACACCATCATCAAGCCAGAGTTCTCCTATACCAGTCCCATTGAGGAGTTTGCCAGACTGGACGAGAACAAGTACTGCTGCGACTGCTCTGCCCTGGATCCCTGCTGGGCTGTGGCACCCTTCGGAATCACTGTTTGCTCCAGCTGCGCACAGGTAAATTGGAGGGGGTATTCTTAGCAATTCATGTTCTCTCGCGAGAGAAATATCGAATACGCGATAAATATCAACGAATCAAACAACGTTCTTCTTTTTCTTGCTAATTTATCTTGAATTTTCAAACTGATTTCTCATTGGCTAATATAATTTTCAAGCGTACGGTCCGGACCGTCTTACACGAGGGATTTCATTGCAGAAAGTATTACCGTGCGAAATGATTGAAAGTAATATTCACCATTTAGTATTGTACAGCTCTTAATAACATATCAGGGGTAGTGGGGAAAGAAAATTAATTTCTTGATAAACCCTCTTCCTGGAAATAGCTAATGATTCGAAATAGTTAATGATTGGAAAGAGCTAATGATTGACGATATCTAAAGATATTCGAGGAAATGGACGCTATCGTCGGTAAATCGAGAGAATTTTTAGGGAAAACAAAAGTTCAATTCGAATGTGTGCTGCTGAGAATTTAGGACTGCGCTCTGAGATGTCTTTTTCTGAAGCTTATTCTTTGTATTTTAAATAAGCTTTCTATTGAGAAATCCTCACTTTTTAATATTAATCTTGAATGATGAAAAACAGTATTTTTACAGGTACACAGAGCCCTAGTGCCGCCATCTTCAAAATGCTCCAAGGATGCCTATAAGAATGCGGGTCCGAAGTCAAGTCAGGTAGTAATTTTTTAATTAAATATGCGATTTTTTCTTTCATTGTTTCGCGCCTTAAGAAACCTAGGCGTGTTGTGTTTTAACGTGCTTTCAGGTGCTGAAAATGTTTTTTTTTGCGTTTTGAGTTGGGTATCCTTATAAAGCAAGCGTATTCTACAGTAAATTGTTAAGTGTAAAAGAACGAGTTTGATTTATTGCGGTTTCACTAATGATTTCTGAAGTATCGATCAGCAAAAATGAAAGGTCCCGTAAAACGTGAATGACTTCTAGTTTCAGAATTGGACTGTAAATTTTTGAATTCCTTAGTATTCGTTTTTTTTTTCTTTTTTTTCCTTAAGTTATTTTACCTGTAAACAATTTTATCCAGTTTTCTCAAATTGGGCTAAATTTTTGAACTAGAAAATCAAAGAATTTTTAGGCCATATATTTTAAAAAATAATGAAAAATGAAGTTTTTTTTTAATAAATACAAGTCTTTGATTTTTCTGTTCACTTGCGTTCGTTGATTCTCTTCCAACTATCTTTTGGCTATGTAAGTCATCTATAGCTGCGTCATTGGTGGCTAACCGACACATAGCAAAAGTTTCACTAATTCGAGGCTCTTTTCTACCGTTTTCTATTTCATTAGAACTTCTTTTTGTATCTTTTTCGCTTTTCTTTGCGAATCGCAGCTTCACCTCCGTGTAAAAATTCTTAATTGAACTGCTCGGCGAATTTGTAAGCCTCAAAGTTGCCGCCGTTTAGGACACTTTGTGAGCTAACCTATTCTTAATGTCAGATTGCCGGCAATATTCTTCTCGGTCTACGAATTTGAATTAAAACTGCTCATTTGACGTCTGAATCATTGCACTCATTTCAGCACGTAAAAAACCGTATCAAAACCCCTGATTAATTCGAGACAACCATTTTTTGACCGATAGCTGTCCTAGGTCACCGATATTGCCAGCAATTAAGCAGTTACTAGAGACTGGAGACTTAGTTGTCGTCTTTTTTATTTCATTGGAGCTTGTAAATTAAGGTCTTCTCTTGTATCGAAGATGGAATTTTTACTGGAGTTAATACAATGTGGCATTAACTATGTATGGACCATTTTAGACTGGCGGTGGTTCTCTGCAGCAGCGTGTGTTGAGTCTGACTCTGGACGAGTGGAGGCCGGAAGTGGCGGCTCTGATGAAGCTGTTAGGAAACAAGTTCGCCAATAGCATCTACGAGGCCCATAGGACAGACGAACTGGATAAGCCCTCTTTCGACAGTGACATGTGAGTCATTAAAGTTGTCTCTTCTTTTCATTAGATGTCAAACTGTATTTTGGGAACTGGAAGCGGATTCCGCAACAAGAAGGCTCTATTTGATCTTCTTTTGTTCTTTCATTTTCTTTGATCGTTCCGACGAAATTATAAGAAGCTCAAAGACTTGTCTCTGGATTCAAACAGCGTACAGACACCAAATTGTGTGCCTATCCAGTGCACAGATTGGCCTCGTAATGTTCTGCATAAAGTCCCACTTCTGGTGACTGTACCATCGAGTTACTTAATTACCCTCTCCCCACTCCCCCCTCCCCCCCCCCCATATTAGTACTGGAGTATCATAGCTTGTACGTGGTTGTCTACCTTCTATATTGTCTGAATGCCCTTGTTGCGAGAGTTGCATCTCAATCCGTTACTTCAAGTGGTTCAGTTGAACGGAGTGCGAATTGAGCTCGTCTTTGTCGAAATTTTGGCTGGATTGAAATAATTGGGATTAACTGACCGTTTTGGGTCTGCTGGCCTCATCGTTTTGTAACCAAATTTTAGTTTTTTTCATCATAATTGAAGTTTTTCTTGAAATTAGACTCTCTGATGTGTTTCAGGGTGACGCGTGAGAAATGGATTTTGGGTAAATATGTGGAGCAGCGGTTTGTGAGACATCTCAGTCAAGGAGACGTGCAGAACTTCAACCCCAGTCACAAACTGTTCTCTGTTGTGAACTCAGGTCAGATCATCATTTCTCATACAGTTTGACAAAACTTCATGAACCGATTGAATGATCTGGTCGGTTGTCGCAAACAGTATTGAAAAGTGAGCAGAATGATATTCAGTCACTTGAGTCAGTTTTTTAAATTTTCGTTTTGAATTAAAAAAACACTTGTATTTATGAATTGAATCAATCGATTCAAAGATTGGAAACCAACTTTCAACGTCCTCCAGCACGGAATGAAAAATGATTTCTTCGATGTGCAGATTCTCGTTGGCTGAAAAATGTAGATCCGTAGCTTTAATGCGATTACTGATGATTTCATTGAGCAGATAGAAAAGAATAATTTGCGATGGCACAGTCATGTAATACGCAAGGTGGCCACGGTATCTGTACGGTCAGTGCGAAGCGTGAACTGTCACTGTCCGCAGTGCCTACAAATCAATATCAGTGCCAATTTATTTTACCGCACTTGATCACTAATTCATCAAAAATCCTAGCAGGTTTACTCAGCAAGAGTTTTTCAGGTAATATCAGCAGCTTATCTGACAAAAAAATTTCTGAACCAAAAATTTTCCGAAAAAAATGTGAATGAAAATTTTTAAAATATATATTTCCGAAACATCCTCTGTTTGTATCATGTTATCATTTGTCAAAAAAATGAAAAAAAAAATTCTTTTTCACGGAAAATATCGGTTTCTTGCATTCATTTTTATCAGTTAGAATATCAGTGGCAGTAATTTTTGAGAGCACTCTGTACAATGAGTTGAGTCGAATCCCGCCAAGTAGGTCCAGAGTTTGAAGTGAAGAGAAGAGAGCAAGAGTTCCTGCAAGTTTGGGAACAAACTTCCCTCGAAGCTATAAAGACTAACAATTTGTTGCCTGTTGATTTTCTGAATCGCGGCAAATGGAGCTCTACGGCTCAGGGGTGCACAGGCAACTTCAGTGATATGGGAAATGGCGTTCCATAGAAATTTAAAGAGTGGAAACCAAGAACGCCTATGAATTATCGTAGTCGGATATAGTTTCCGTAAACCGTTTCAGCTCCCTTCAGAACAGACTTGGTTGCTTAAGATTGCATCCGGCCTATTACGAGAGGAGACAAAATTTGTTCGAACTTATCAATTGCATTTATCTCGTGAGTTTATGTCTGTAAAAGTAAAAGAATGGAAATCAAGTCTAAAATCACGAATATTGAATGAAACTTGAATTTAAAACTAGTAGAAATGACTTAAAAACTAGAATCAGCATTTCGAACATGAAGCCTCTGAGCTTGGACTTAGAAGGGGGAGGGTGTTGAAAATGGGAACTGTTTCAGAGAGCTGTGACGTGGGTCTAATTCTGCAGTACATATCGCAGGGGGCGGATGTGAACTGGAAAAATGAAAAGAGTGACAACATGACGTCACTCCACAATGCCACATTCGGGGTAAGTTATGTAATAGTGAAAATATATTAATGGCCAGAGTGACCCAATTCAAGTAGCACAGAAAGTTCCTACCTAAGTTGTCTTTTCAAAAAAAGTAAAGAATTTAAAAAAGCAAAATAGCTTAAAGAAGTATTGAGTGTTTGGCAGTGTATCAATTTTAAAAAAATAAAAATTTGAATTTAAATTGTTCAAAAAAATTTGTTGGCAAGAGTTTAAATTTTTCTGAAACTATTTAAATTTCTCTAGTAATTTAAATTTTTCTAGAGTCTGTTTTTAAGCAGTTTTTTGCCAATTTTAGGTACTGTTTGCAATTTTGGAAAAAAAATTAGTTGCAAATAGACATGCTCGAAAAAATTCTATGTCTATTTGCAACTAAACTTCATCTTGTCGTTTTCGAAATTTTGTCGTATTCAATATAAATTGCTCAATTTCAAATAAAATTTTTTCATTTGAATTGAGTGGAATCATTCTTTTACATTTAAATGAATTGAAATTTAAATGAAAGTTTAAATTAAGTAATTTTTTTTTCGCTCTACCTTTTTCCGATAAATGTTCCTTTTGCAAGTTGTCAAAATACAGTTATCGAAATATTGATCTGTGCTCACTTGATCACTTGTGTGTTTTTGTATAGGGCAAGCTGACGTGTTGTGAGCTGTTGATGCAGCAGGGTGCAGACATCGACTCAGTGGACTCCTTGGGTCGCACTCCTCTCCACTACGCCTGCATGAACAGCAACCGAATGGTAGCCTGTCTCCTTCTCAACCACGGCGCAGATCCACACGCATTAGACATGGACGAAAAGGTATAGCAAGGCTCTTTTAGGCTTTTAGCATACTGGTTTAAGGCACTCAATTCAAGAGTGTTAGATCGTGTAATCGATCCCCTGCCAAGCCAATGATAATTAATGTGTGAGGATGAGCGCTGATTTGACCTCTAGCTTCAGGTCTACCACAGCCTGACCGATTCCGGCTGCAATAGTGGTACCACGTGAAAATTCTGGGCGCAAAAGAAAATCCTTGCTCAACAGTATAAATCAGTCTAGATCGTGGGGAAATAAAAGAAACTGACTATTCTTAGACAGAATGGATAGCCTTTCATCGATGCTCTGCGAATCGCAGAAACCCCAATTATTAACAAGGCTCTTTTACACTCCCGTTCGAATCAATGCTGAAAAATTGAATAAGAGTAATGAACGTAGTGAGTACTCTTATATAGGTCTTGCTGATGGTTTTTTCAGGAAAAAGTCATAAACATTGTTCACTCTCAATTTTGATGTTTCGCGGTTTGACTTGTGATTTCTTTTCAAATTCAGTGCATTTCCATTGTTAAAAGGAACTCTAACTCTATCTAACTATCGAACAGCAAAAGTGTAAAGGTCACAAAAAACGTGATCGACTTCTAATTTCGAAAATGGAAATTAATTATCAGATTTCCCAGCGAAATTAAAGTTTTGCCTGTTGATCCACTTCTCTCACATTGGTTTAATTTTAACAAAAAGTGTCTGTCATAAATTATTCTATAAAGTCAAAGAGCGTAAGGGACATCTATTTTTTTTCTTCGACATTCAAGAAGGTTTTTGAAAAAACAAGTCAGTTTTTTTCAGTTTCCTTGCGTTCATTACTATTTTTCAACTCAGTTGGCTATTTTTCAACGCTGTCATAAGATTGAGAAGTTTTGCATGGCGAGCAAATGAACATGATGAAGAAATTTTTCTATTAGTACCTTTTTTTTTTACATCACTCACGCATATTGTCCGTTTAGCACGTATAACTACAATTAAAAGTTTTGATAAACCAGTGACAAATGAACCTCATATTAACTTTTTATTCTCTGAAAAACCTAATTTTACTGGCAATTTGGTACAACATTTACTTTTAATTTCATCAAAACTTTACACTGACTGACAGTAATTGATTTGAACATTGATTTGAACTACCTCCTCTGAAAGTTTCAGTTTTTGATTTGAAGCACTTACCAATTTTTTACGGTCTGAAATGCCATTTTCACCATTTGTAGTAAGTTTTTCAACGGTGTGAAATGGTCAGAAACAAGAGAAATGGGAAACGTTGTCACACTGAACAACGAAATTTTTTTGTTAAAATGTTTCACATCGCGTACTCAACTTTTACTACTTGGCTTATTCAAAAAGTGTTCACTCCCATAGAAAACCTAATAAAATTTGTGAAAGCTGGTATTTTCAGACCCGATGCTACAAATCAAAAACCGAGGCTTTCGGAGAGGGTAGTTTGGATCATTTGCTGTCAGAGATGTAAAATTTTTTGTTAAAATACTGGATAAAATTGTTCCAAAATTGTCCTTGAAATAAAGCATTTCAGATTGTAATAACCTGAATTTGCGTTGTATTTTGTCCACTAGTGTAAAAATGATGTGAAAATGAAAGTACTCGTAAAATCGCATCACTTGAGAGAGCGCCGTTAGACTTCGCTGTAGCCCGTTTTTAGGTAGCTGAACGATGCTTGAAATTATTATTGCCGCCAACTCATCAAAGTTTTGACATGATCAACACGTCATTAAAAGAAATTGGTTTTCACCTATCAGTCGAAAGGCACGTAGTTTGAGATTCACATTGAGATACGATGGTTGCACGCGGGTGAGGCAATAATTATGAACCCAAAAAAAATCACCATAAGTCTGGGTAAAACCCTAATAAGTTATGGTGTTTCTTTAACTCGTGAGTAAATGATCGTAAAAGAACTAAGTTTGAGCTGTTAAGATTGTCACGCTACCTTTTCGATTAAGATCCTAAAGCAACTATTCTGCAATTTTCATTGAGTGTCAATGATTGAAGTGAAGACTCTTGTTTTGGTCGTGTTTCTTAGGAAACAGACTGGATAGCCTTTCATCGATCCTCTGCGAATCGCAGAAACCCCAATTATTAACAAGGCTCTTTTACACTCCCGTTCGAATCAATTCTGAAAAATCGAATAAGAGTAATTAACGTAGTGAGTACTCTTATATAGGTCTCGCTGATTTTTTTTGTTTTTTTTTTCATGATTTTCATTTTGACATGTGATTTCTTTTCAAGCTCAGTGCATTTCAATTGTCAGGAAGGCAAACTCCACTATCAAAGATCAAAAGTGTAAAGGTCACGAAAAACCTGATTTAGAAAATGGAAATTAATTATGAGACTTCCAAGCGAAATAAAATTTTTACGTATTGATCCAGTTTTCTCAAAATGGGTGAATTTTAGCAAAAAAGTGTCCATCATAAATTGTTCTACAAATTCAAAGAGCTTTAGGGCCATCTATTTTTTCTTCGAAATTCACGAAGGTTTTTGAAAAAAGAAGTCAGTGTTTTTTCAGATTCCTTACGTTCATTACTCTTTTCCAACTGTCAGTTGGCTATGTTTTTTGTGCTATATAGCAAAAAAGTGTTGAACAATTTTTTTAGGAAAAAGTGTCCTTTTTTAGACGATATCGTTTTTGATATCAACGAATATGAGCGAGTTAATTTAAGTTCTAATTGTGATTTAGGAAATCAGGTTTTTCAGCATTCCAGCTCGTAACAAAATGTCGGAAATTTTAATTCGTTAAACGTCGAAAGCCCTATTTTCTGACCGATTGAGATGCTCAAGGTCGCGAATATTGTTGAGAATGTGGCATGAAATGAATGATATGTTCGCTTAAGATGTTTCAGTTTAGACCTGACAAAGATTTGTTCTTTTCAGACCCCGATGGACGTGGCCACCGAAGCACAGGACAGAGAACTGCTCTGTGTGCTCAAAATATCCCAGGCACTGCGCAAGTTCCAACCTGTTGGTAAGAATCTAAAGTCCGCCCAGCAGTTTTCAATGGAAACACTTGTAATGGAAACGTTGCCGTATCTTCGAGAGCTTATCTTCCTTTCGATGAGCACAAATATGCGTTAAAAGGGGGTACAAAACAGAAACTTGCCAATTGCTGAAGATTTGAGATAAAATTTATGCTATGTTGAGATTATCGAGAAGAGAACTGCAAAATGTGGTTAGTTCAATTAATAATTTGACCTTTAACTTGTTTAAAATCGGAGCTGCTTCATTTCAGAAATGGCCGACAACAGTAGATTTGCTTCCAGTCCTCAAAGTGCCCGGCTTGCTCGAGCGCCCACCAAAAACCACAGATCAATTGTGTCACGCAACGCAAACAACATGTAATAACTTCTATCCCCCCTACCACACAGTTAGAAGAGAGGCTAACTAGCATAAGGAATCCCCATATGAAATAAGTACAAACTGTGAGATATTGACTCGAAATCTATCGATGCAGTGTAATGTAAAGATATTTAATTTCACAACAGATCAAATCATTTTAATTTTGTAATGTAAATTGATACTTTTTTCATTAATATTGTTTAGTCTTCATCTGGTTTCGAGGTTTAGAAATTTAATGTAAAAGGATTTGACAATAGATTATTTGAATCAACTTGGTTTTCTTAATTTCGTTGCTGTTGTCAGAATTCAATTTGGACGTATGATAACGGGTCTGCTTTGTTGCCAGTAAGTTCGCCCGTTTTCGTGAACTTATTCGGCAAAATTTGTTAATTGCAAACCTATGGTATGAAGACATCATCAAAGCGCATTGTTTGCTGCATTTTACCTAAGAATAACCCAAGGCCGATGGACCTAGTAAAGATACCTATACAACCTTAAAAAACGACAAAATCTAGTACGACTTATGTTATTATTCTCACTAGGCTCATTTTCTCTCAATGGGTTTGTTTTAAACAGGAAACAGAAACCAATACATTTTGATGAAAAATTGCTAGCTTGCTCTTGGCATTTTGGATTTTTTCATTTGAATTGAGTGGAATCATTTTTTTTAAATTTAAATGAATTGAAATTTAAATGAAAGTTTAAATTAAGTAAATTTTTTTCGCTCTACCTTTTTCCGATAAATGTTCCTTTTGCAAGTTGTCAAAATACAGTTATCAAAATATTGATCTGTGCTCACTTGATCACTTGTGTGTTTTTGTATAGGGCAAGCTGACGTGTTGTGAGCTGTTGATGCAGCAGGGTGCAGACATCGACTCAGTGGACTCCTTGGGTCGCACTTCTCTCCACTACGCCTGCATGAACAGCAACCGAATGGTAGCCTGTCTCCTTCTCAACCACGGCGCAGATCCACACGCATTAGACATGGACGAAAAGGTATAACAAGGCTCTTTTAGGCTTTTAGCATACTGGTCTAAGGCACTCAATTCAAGAGTGTTAGATCGTGTAATCGATCCCCTGCCAAGCCAATGATAATTAATGTGTGAGGATGAGCGCTGATTTGACCTCTAGCTTCAGGTCTACCACAGCCTGACCGATTCCGGCTGCAATAGTGGTACCACGTGAAAATTCTGGGCGCAAAAGAAAATCCTTGCTCAACAGTATAAATCAGTCTAGATCGTGGGGAAATAAAAGAAACTGACTATTCTTAGACAGAATGGATAGCCTTTCATCGATGCTCTGCGAATCGCAGAAACCCCAATTATTAACAAGGCTCTTTTACACTCCCGTTCGAATCAATGCTGAAAAATTGAATAAGAGTAATGAACGTAGTGAGTACTCTTATATAGGTCTTGCTGATGGTTTTTTCAGGAAAAAGTCATAAACATTGTTCACTCTCAATTTTGATGTTTCGCGGTTTGACTTGTGATTTCTTTTCAAATTCAGTGCATTTCCATTGTTAAAAGGAACTCTAACTCTATCTAACTATCGAACAGCAAAAGTGTAAAGGTCACAAAAAACGTGATCGACTTCTAATTTCGAAAATGGAAATTAATTATCAGATTTCCCAGCGAAATTAAAGTTTTGCCTGTTGATCCACTTTTCTCACATTGGTTTAATTTTAACAAAAAGTGTCTGTCATAAATTATTCTATAAAGTCAAAGAGCGTAAGGGACATCTATTTTTTTTCTTCGACATTCAAGAAGGTTTTTGAAAAAACAAGTCAGTTTTTTTCAGTTTCCTTGCGTTCATTACTATTTTTCAACTCAGTTGGCTATTTTTCAACGCTGTCATAAGATTGAGAAGTTTTGCATGGCGAGCAAATGAACATGATGAAGAAATTTTTCTATTAGTACCTTTTTTTTTTACATCACTCACGCATATTGTCCGTTTAGCACGTATAACTACAATTAAAAGTTTTGATAAACCAGTGACAAATGAACCTCATATTAACTTTTTATTCTCTGAAAAACCTAATTTTACTGGCAATTTGGTACAACATTTACTTTTAATTTCATCAAAACTTTACACTGACTGACAGTAATTGATTTGAACATTGATTTGAACTACTTCCTCTGAAAGTTCAGTTTTTGATTTGAAGCACTTACCAATTTTTTACGGTCTGAAATGCCATTTTCACCATTTGTAGTAAGTTTTTCAACGGTGTGAAATGGTCAGAAACAAGAGAAATGGGAATTGTCACACTGAACAACGCAATTTTTTTGTTAAAATGTTTCACATCGCGTACTCAACTTTTACTACTTGGCTTATTCAAAAAGTGTTCACTCCCATAGAAAACCTAATAAAATTTGTGAAAGCTGGTATTTTCAGACCCGGTGCTACAAATCAAAAACCGAGGCTTTCGGAGAGGGTAGTTTGGATCATTTGCTGTCAGAGATGTAAAATTTTTTGTTAAAATACTGGATAAAATTGTTCCAAAATTGTCCTTGAAATAAAGCATTTCAGATTGTAATAACCTGAATTTGCGTTGTATTTTGTCCACTAGTGTAAAAATGATGTGAAAATGAAAGTACTCGTAAAATCGCATCACTTGAGAGAGCGCCGTTAGACTTCGCTGTAGCCCGTTTTTAGGTAGCTGAACGATGCTTGAAATTATTATTGCCGCCAACTCATCAAAGTTTTGACATGATCAACACGTCATTAAAAGAAATTGGTTTTCACCTATCAGTCGAAAGGCACGTAGTTTGAGATTCGCATTGAGATACGATGGTTGCACGCGGGTGAGGCAATAATTATGAACCCAAAAAAAATCACCATAAGTCTGGGTAAAACCCTAATAAGTTATGGTGTTTCTTTAACTCGTGAGTAAATGATCGTAAAAGAACTAAGTTTGAGCTGTTAAGATTGTCACGCTACCTTTTCGATTAAGATCCTAAAGCAACTATTCTGCAATTTTCATTGAGTGTCAATGATTGAAGTGAAGACTCTTGTTTTGGTCGTGTTTCTTAGGAAACAGACTGGATAGCCTTTCATCGATCCTCTGCGAATCGCAGAAACCCCAATTATTAACAAGGCTCTTTTACACTCCCGTTCGAATCAATTCTGAAAAATCGAATAAGAGTAATTAACGTAGTGAGTACTCTTATATAGGTCTCGCTGATTTTTTTTTTTTTTTTTTTTTCATGATTTTCATTTTGACATGTGATTTCTTTTCAAGCTCAGTGCATTTCAATTGTCAGGAAGGCAAACTCCACTATCAAAGAGCAAAAGTGTAAAGGTCACGAAAAACCTGATTTAGAAAATGGAAATTAATTATGAGACTTCCAAGCGAAATAAAATTTTTACGTATTGATCCAGTTTTCTCAAAATGGGTGAATTTTAGCAAAAAAGTGTCCATCATAAATTGTTCTACAAATTCAAAGAGCTTTAGGGCCATCTATTTTTTCTTCGAAATTCACGAAGGTTTTTGAAAAAAGAAGTCAGTGTTTTTTCAGATTCCTTACGTTCATTACTCTTTTCCAATTGTCAGTTGGCTATGTTTTTTGTGCTATTTAGCAAAAAAGTGTTGAACAATTTTTTTAGGAAAAAGTGTCCTTTTTTAGACGATATCGTTTTTGATATCAACGAATATGAGCGACTTAATTTAAGTTCTAATTGTGATTTAGGAAATCAGGTTTTTCAGCATTCCAGCTCGTAACAAAATGTCGGAAATTTTAATTCGTTAAACGTCGAAAGCCCTATTTTCTGACCGATTGAGATGCTCAAGGTCGCGAATATTGTTGAGAATGTGGCATGAAATGAATGATATGTTCGCTTAAGATGTTTCAGTTTAGACCTGACAAAGATTTGTTCTTTTCAGACCCCGATGGACGTGGCCACCGAAGCACAGGACAGAGAACTGCTCTGTGTGCTCAAAATATCCCAGGCACTGCGCAAGTTCCAACCTGTTGGTAAGAATCTAAAGTCCGCCCAGCAGTTTTCAATGGAAACACTTGTAATGGAAAACGTTGCCGTATCTTCGAGAGCTTATCTTCCTTTCGATGAGCACAAATATGCGTTAAAAGGGGGTACAGAACAGAAACTTGCCAATTGCTGAAGATTTGAGATAAAATTTATGCTATGTTGAGATTATCGAGAAGAGAACTGCAAAATGTGGTTAGTTCAATTAATAATTTGACCTTTAACTTGTTTAAAATCGGAGCTTCTTCATTTCAGAAATGGCCGACAACAGTAGATTTGCTTCCAGTCCTCAAAGTGCCCGGCTTGCTCGAGCGCCCACCAAAAACCACAGATCAATTGTGTCACGCAACGCAAACAACATGTAATAACTTCTATCCCCCCTACCACACAGTTAGAAGAGAGGCTAACTAGCAGAAGGAATCCCCATATGAAATAAGTACAAACTGTGAGATATTGACTCGAAATCTATCGATGCAGTGTAATGTAAAGATATTTAATTTCACAACAGATCAAATCATTTTAATTTTGTAATGTAAATTGATACTTTTTTCATTAATATTGTTTAGTCTTCATCTGGTTTCGAGGTTTAGAAATTTAATGTAAAAGGATTTGACAATAGATTATTTGAATCAACTTGGTTTTCTTAATTTCGTTGCTGTTGTCAGAATTCAATTTGGACGTATGATAACGGGTCTGCTTTGTTGCCAGTAAGTTCGCCCGTTTTCGTGAACTTATTCGGCAAAATTTGTTAATTGCAAACCTATGGTATGAAGACATCATCAAAGCGCATTGTTTGCTGCATTTTACCTAAGAATAACCCAAGGCCGATGGACCTAGTAAAGATACCTATACAACCTTAAAAAACGACAAAATCTAGTACGACTTATGTTATTATTCTCACTAGGCTCATTTTCTCTCAATGGGTTTGTTTTAAACAGGAAACAGAAAACAATACATTTTGATGAAAAATTGCTAGCTTGCTCTTGGCTAGATATTTCACAAATTTCTGTTTTCACGGCTTGGTTCTTGATTTAGTTTAAACTCGTTTTAATTTTTTTTGCATTTGTTGAATTGAAGGAAACTCGAACAGCAACATTGCTATGTTACGAAAAACGTGATTGACTTCTATTTTCGAAAGGGATTTTGTTTTGAACGAAGTGAATTTTCTTATATAAGTCTTGGTGTTTCTTCGTTTTTTTTTCAGGAAAGTCTTAAACTTTGATCACGGTAAAATTTGCTTTTTCGAGTTTGGATTTCTTTTGAAAGGAAGACAAACTCCAATATCGAACAGCAAAAAGGTTAAGGTCAAGAAAAATTTGATTGACTTCTAGTTCCAAAAATTGATTTAAATTTTCGAATTTCCCAGTGCAAAAGAAAAATAAAACTATTGATTCAGTTTCCTCAAACTGCGTTAATTTATCAAAAATTGAATTCTTTTATCAAAAAAATTTCATCAAAATAAGTATAAATTGTAGTTACAGATCAGAAAGCTTTAAGGCTATAAGTTTTTTTAAACAAAATTCGAACGTTTGTTTTTTTTTCTGTTTCCTTGCGGTCATGATTGTTTTCCAACTCCAGGGTACAAAACCTGATGATCCAGCTAACTCGATTGAGATTGTTTTTATTAGGAGTCGATAAACGTAGTGAAGACTCTTATATAGGTCTTGGTGATATATTTTTGGCTAGAAAAAAGTCTTGATTTAATCACTACAGATGTGTATTCATACATAATGATACAATTATGAATAGACTCATGTACACCTAAAGTTTTTGACTTCAAATTGAATTCTTCTGCAGAACGTTAGGTTAATTGCACTCTGCAAATACGAATGTGGAAATCGCTCGATATAACGTGAAGGATTTCTGGTTTCGAAAGTAAAATTTACTTTTTAGATTACCCAGCGGAATTAAAATTTACCGTTTTCTCAAAATAAGATCCTCTGATCGAAAAAGTTTCAATCATAATTTCCTTTTGTTATTCAAAGATTGTTAAAAAATTTCTACTTTAAAATTCGAAAGTTGAAATCTTTTCAGAAATCTGTTTTTTTTTCTGTCTTCCTGCGTTCATTGACTGTTTTCCAACTGTCTGTTGGCTATATTTCAATCTCAAACGCTTATGTCCCTAAAAATGGTCAATCAGAAATCTTTATTTGAAAAAAACTTTATTTAAAAAACAAGGATGTATTTTTGTTTTCTTGCGTTCTTTGACAGTTTTCTAACTGTCTGCTGGCCCTCTTGAGTTTAAGCTGTGCTTGAAAAAAAATTGTAGCAAAACTGGTAAGGCAAAGGACCCAGCTTCTTTTTCAGTTCCGGTTAAAATACCAAAATTTTAATTTTTCTGATTTAATTTTTTTCGTAAACGTATTTTGCGCTTCTTCTTGCTTAGTCTTTTTTTTTCAAAGTGAAACTCGTTTCCGGTAATATAATGATTTCAGTCGTGATTAAATTTAAGGATTGTTAAAATAATTTAATTACATCCATTGAAACATTAGTGCAAAAATTCATCGTGAGACTTTGAAACTTTTCGATCCATTTGTCAAAATTGCCTGATAGTTTGCGTAACGAAAACCTAAACGGTAGATTAAAACTTTGAAAATTGTTGAAAATTTTGAAAAAAAAATTTGCGAAAAAATTAAATTTCAAGTTTAATAAATTAGAGGAAAAAAAATACGGCTATTTACTTGTTTTCAGGTTCGGGTAAAATTTGAAATAATAAGGCTCAGCGTTTTTGCTCGGTAATTTTTTCTTTTTTTGGTTGATTTTTTGATGAAATTTTCAATGGCCTGGGCAGAATTGCCAACGCAAGTTCGAATGCAAAACGATATATTACTGAAGTCGTGTTATTTGAAATAATATGGGATTGAAAATTGTAACTAGGCCAGATTGAAGTAACTGATAATTGAGCTGAATTTTTACTGCTTTCTAATATGCGTAGCGTATTCGGCTTAAGTTTAAATATTGAGAATTGCTTATTGACGCAATTGGCGCGTAATTGCACAAAAATTCTCAATTTTGTTGTTAACATTGCTTGTTTTAAAAAATTAAACCTCTTTTTAAATCTTTTTTTTGTCTATTGCGCTCTCTAAAACTTACTCCATGCACTTTAAACGACGTTCAACCCTGATACAAGTTATCCCGATGAACATTTTTTTATCATAGTTTTAAAATCGACATCCTGTCATCTACCTTTTTTGATGTCCCGTACAATACAATTAATCCATATGTTCTCGAGAGAAGGGGCAACAGCAAGTCCTCACGAATCTCATATCTAGTATTTCTCAAGAAATTAACTACTATTACAGCAGCTGATTAGTAGCGTAATAATAGTTGCGTAATAGTAGAAATTCCAGATTTGAGATTCTTGCAGACTTGCTGTTGATCATTCTCTCGGCAATAGATGGAAAAAATATATGATACGGGACGTCAAAAAAGTTAATAACAAACTTTAAATCTTTATAACTAAGATAGAAACAAAAACTTTCTTTGTTTTGATCAAAACAGTTTGTATCAGAGTTGAAAGTCGTGTTTTTAGGTTGTAGTTTTAGGTAGTAGATAAATAACAGCTATATATTGAAAATTTTTGTGAATAAATCAAGACACGCGGTGTCGAGATGTGAACAAATTTCAAAATGGAAGGTAATCTGTTGATTTTATCTGGTTGCCATCTGGATGTCCTATATCCTACATTTCTTCCACTTATTCTCGAGAGCAGGGGCAACAGCAAGTCCTCGCCAATCTCAAATCTGGTATTTCTGAAGAAACCAACTACTTTTACGCCAGCTGATTTATAGCGTAATAGAAGTTGGTTTCTTCAAAAATAACAGATTTGAGATTCGTGAGGACTTACTCTTGCACCTTTTTCCGAGAACATTGGAAGAAATGTATGGTACAGGACATTAAAAGAGGTTGATGACTGTGTTTTAAATTTCAAACTATGAGAAACTTTGATAGAAATAAAAAAGGCAAGAAATTTGATCAAAACAGCTTGTATCCGGTTAACTGGTTTTTAAGTAGTTTTTAGAGATCGGTTAGACAAAAAAACTTAAAAATGTGCAATTTTCTAACAAACGCAATGTTAACTACAAATTAACAATTTTTTGTGCATTAATGCACCAATTGTGTCAAAAACAATTTTCAATTTCAGGATTCTGGCCTAATTGTTGTTGACTTCTTCAAAAATAACAGATTTGAGATTCGCGAGGACTTGCTGTCGCCTCTTCTCTCGAGGATAACGGAAGAAATGTATGGAACGGGACATCACCGTGCGGACAAAATGTATGTATTTCATCCAGGAAGAATACTGTTAAGTCTCGTGTCAATGAAAAGATGAAACTTCTAACGTGTGGTAGCTCTTTTTCGTTTTCGTACGCGCACATTTACTGTTCCCGGCCTTCCGCGATTTTTTTTACCATAAAACTTACATTTACAATTTTTTGGATTGATAGAAATACATTTAGAACAGTTCAATTCGAAATCCGAATCTTCATTAATTTGATTAATAAAAGAACTCACGCTTTTTGAAAACCGTCACGGCAAATTTTAGTCGGCGAAAACTGAACAACCCGTAGAATCGGAAATTGTTTTTTAAATTGAAGTAAATTGATATCAAAACCACTAAATCAACAAAATCGTCTCAGTTATAAGTTTTTTCAAAGCGTGCCTTCGGAGCCAAAATACACTAACTTTGGGGTTGGAGCGCGCACCGCGAGATAACAGATTTTTTGGTCAAAACATTCAATATTGCTCTCAAACGTCATGTTTGGCCCGTGAAATTCCAATAACAATTCCCTAACAATTTGTAGGCAAAACAAGGTCTCAAAAGTGTTATGGGAGGTCTGATAAAATCAATTCGGTCAACCTAAATAAATGCGAAAATATTTTTGACTTTTTCAAGGCCCTTCTCACCGGAGAAAACTTTAGATCTGTGCCTGAATGTTGTCATGAAATTGAATACTGGTTCACATGTTATTGAGAGAGCATCTGCTTTTAGTGTTTCAGCATCGAAAATTATTATTTATGTTTGAGATTGTTATCAGAGATTAACAGGTATTTTTTCACTGCATTTGAACGTAGAATCACAATTGATTGAGGGCTGGTCATTTTACTGTCTATAAGCACATTACCGTGTTAAACAGGTGCTCTGATACGCTCTAATATCTTAAGCACATTGAAAACTGCATTTTGATAAAGATTCGCTCAAAAAGCAAGTCAGAGAAAATTACACGTTCAAAACAGAGATTATTGAGTTTAATAACGAATAACTGTTGGTTTTATTTGAAACTGTTTAGCTATTTGGAACTGAAGTTAAAAATAACCATTTATAGGTAGATGGGTCTCAGAAACAATAGTTAATAACCCTGAAAAAAATTGATCAACCAAATAAAACACAACACTTAAAACATTTTTTTCGTGTTATCAGGAGTTTCATGGTTACGAAAGAGTGTAGATTTGACGGAAACTCGATTGCAACTTTTTTAAAATCATGGGACCCATCTAAGTTATTCCGATTGAAATTCTGATTGAAGTTTCTCCACATAATTCAGATAAGCTTTGTTCGCCTTATTCGCAAACTGTGAACGTCGACCTAAGTGTCTAAATAATTATTTAGTTATCATAACTTAGTTATTAAACTA